ATAATATAATATAATATAATATAATATAATATAATATAATATAATATAATATAATATATAGTATGTGTGTGTGTGTGCATGTGTATTATTTAGTCACCACCCATCTCACTCAAACAGTGAGATAGAATTTTATTTTATTATAGTTTTATTATTTTTAGAATTTCATTAATACAATTATAATGAATATTTGTATATGTCACTGAATTTTGCCTATGGTTCCTAAGGAATTTAGAAGCCCTTGCTCAGTGGAAAGGTCTACTGTCAAAAGAAGCAAGAGATTTGATCAAAGCAGTCTTCCAATTTCTTGGAGGGTGGGGTGTTCTACAGATTTATCTGCAGATAAATGAGTTTTATCCATGCCTACCCAAGCTGCTTTTGTTCTGCTGTTTTTATTTATGGCAAACTTCCTCAGTGCATACTGAAGGGATCACACAAAACCACATGACATGGCCAGTTCCCTGGTCTAACATGTAAGAAATTGGTGGGCAAACTGTTCATTATGCAGAGACAAAGTTCAGAGGTTGGGTTATACATTTGGACAGTGGTCTGATCTGCAGCTCACCATCTACCCAGAAAGCAATAATCTGTTCATGGCAAAAGATGGCACGAATTGGCCTAATCGAATAGCCACCGCACCATTGGGATTTGCCTGTCAGACCATAACATTGGGATCAACAAAGACCTCAAGCACCAAAGATTGTAAGTAGCAGAGCACTCAGCGGGCTCCTAAGCAGCAGGCCCATTCCTCCCCTAAACAGCAAAAAGGTCATGAGATTCTGAGTAAAAATGTACAAGCTCCCAGTTGATAATGCTGAAATCTTATGAGATTTCCTGAGATTTTGGCAGTCTAATGGTAAAGCATGACATTTTAGTCTTCTCTGTATGTTTACTGGGAGCTGGGAAAGTTTGCCAACCTCTGAAATGTGTCTATTTACATCTGTTTTTTATGTTAAATCTCTCTTGGAAAGAACACACAGGAATCTAGTGATTGAACTTCTGTTATTAGCTTCTGATACTATTATACAGTAATGCAAAGTGACAATTGTTGTAAACTCTTTTCTTGTCTCCCTTCCCTCAGAAAATACACAGGGCATTCTTGTTATCTATGAAGAAGCTGCAGAGGAATGGGCTCGGTATTTAAAATCAATTTTCAAGCATGTTATATTAGAAGACAGGATCTTGCTTTACGACTTAGAAGCTGCATCGATTCACCACTCAGAAGTGCCATTTCTCTGCTCTTACAGATGCAAAGTGTTGATAATATCGAATGGTCTTTTAAGGTGTCTGAACCTGAAAAAGAGACATTTTCTGGACGAGATTCTTCAGCCTCCTGAAAGGGTGGTTTTTTTGCTTTGTGGGATAGAAGATCCCACCCTTATCTATCAGATACTGAATATAGACAAAAACAACCGATTGATTACCACAGATCAAGGCCCAGAAGATTATCTTGCAGTTATAGCTGATATTATTCAACAAGGTACTAACCTTCCTTCCTTCTTCCCTTCTTTTCTCTGCTTCTAATTTCATATTCCAAGGTAAAATGTAAGAACCGGGAGATTGCGTTACTATGTTTTAAGGTTAAACATTTCCTCAAATAAATAGCTTAATTGTGATGAAGAATTCTTTGTCACTATGGTGAAGTATTAAGTGTGTACCATGTGCTTTGATTTCCTTTGATAAAGACATGGAAGTCCCTGCCCACTATGTTGGAGAAGGCTGCAGAGAGGCCATGGAGAAGAATGAAGCAGGCTAGGTGGCTCTTCCAGTTCATATTTAGGAGGACCACCAGGGTTCATGAAGGAGCATCGAGAAAAGCACTTCACTAGAGCTTTTATCGAAGCAAAGCATGCCCCAGAGCTTTGCACAGCTTCATAAATATATGTCATGCCAAAAAAGAATGTTATTGAAACAATCTTTATTCAACAAATAATACTCAAATATTACTGCAGTAATAAAGGGAGAGATATGGCAAATTCTGCTGAAAAATCTGGACTTAATATATGTAATCACTGAACATTCTGAATGCACGGATTACCATCCAACCAGTGCAGGCAGTTCATGATCCAAGTGACATGCATAGTTGCTTTATTTTATTTTATTTTATTTTATTTTTATTTTATTTTTAAAGCATCTTTGGATCAGGCTGTTCAAATTGATGGCATATAAGACACAGCATATGTATTTAAACTAGATGCTACATAGTATGTAATATATTGTGTCATGTTAATATATTAAACCTGCTGTACCGT